AGACTCTGCAGCAGCAAAAGCAAAGGCCCAAACTCTGAACCTTTTCTTTATTATATTTCTGATAATGATTGGAAAAATGGGAGACGAAAATATATTGTTTTTTGTGCATTTAACCAACTCAACAAACAAGATGTGACAATAGCCCTGTTTCCACCAGACTCTCCACCAGACCAGACTTCCACTCTACTCTACTCTACTCTACTCTACTCTACCCTACTCTACCCTACTCTACTCTACTCTACTCTACTCTACCCACCTCTACTCTACCCTACCCTACTCTACTCTACCCTACTCTACCCTACTCTACTCTACTCTACCCACCTCTACTCTACCCTACCCTACTCTACTCTACTCTACTCTACCCTACCCTACTCTACTCCACTCTACTCTACTCTACCCTACCCTACTCTACTCTACTCTATTCCACCTTACTCTACTCTACCCTACCCTTCTCTAATAATAATAATAATACCTTTAATGTGTAATGCACTTTACATACAAATCTCAAAGTGCTACAGAACAACAACAATAAAAGCACACATCATTAAAGTTACTCTTCTCTACTCTACTCTACTCTACCCTACCCTACCCTACTCTACTCTACCCTACTCTACTCTACTCTACTCTACTCTACTCTACTCTACCCTACCCTACTCTACTCTACCCTACCCTACTCTACTATACCTTTTCTCTACCCTACTCTACCCTACCTTTTCCCTACCCTACTTTACATTTTCCCTATTCTACCCTACCCCACCCTACCCTCCTCTACTCTACTGAACATTTACCTTTTTCAACCAGTACCAGGTACTTTTTGGGGTACCTGCTTGGTCCTGGTTCTGTCCAGGCCGAGCTGGTACTAACGTGTTCTAACTGACAGAGATCGGCCAGAGTGCTGCAGGAAACCATGGTTACCAAGGAATGTCTATGGATACTGGTTTGTTGTGGGTCGTTTGCTATGGATACGGCACCAGATACGAAATCATAATGGAAACGTAACCAGGTAGGGTAGAGTTGGGCCAAGGCAGGCTAGTGGAAACAAGGCTATACTCAAACTCAGGCCCGCAAGACCATTTTTAGTGGCTCCTGAAATGATTGTTTTATTTTTATTATTATTATTATAGACTTGCAGCTTTGATGGTAATGGGTCACTAGGGCATACACAACATAGCTTTTCAAGGACACAATTAATCTATAGAATCTGTAAACCTATTCTCATATTTTAGCGAGTCACATGAATAGAAGTTTAATTTATAAGAAACTTTTGTCCAGTTTTTGATCAATCCAAACACCAAACAGAAAAATAATATCCAAACTATGTCAAATTAAAGTCATGTCAAAATATCTCCATAAAGTAATGGCCTGAAAGCAAGTAGTATAGTGGTATAGAAAGGCAATACAATAGTAAATAATCGCAGTGCATTAGTATAAATACAGAATATTTAATTACTACTGTCAGCCACTACTACAGAAAGGGCTGTGCAAACAAAGGGGAAGTCAGTTACATACAGAGCAGAGAGAAAAGCAGAAAAACAACATTCTGGAGGGAAAAAGAAGTGGGAGTGGTCTGAGTGGAGAGAGAGAGAGAGCAACGGAGCGAGTTAGAGCTGGAAGTGATTAGTCCCGGGTCTCTCTGCTCACACACGTGCACACACTTCAGCAACACAACAGCAGAGCGCCTGACAGCTCCTCCGGTCGCTCCTCGCCCTCCTGGTCCAGCCCTGTCCTGGTCCAGCCCTGTCCTGTCCTGGTCCAGCTCTGTCCTGGTCCAGCCCTGTCCTGGTCCAGCCCTGTCCTGTCCTGGTCCAGCTCTGTCCTGGTCCAGCCCTATCCTGGTCCAGCCCTGTCCTGGTGCAGCCCTGTCCTGTCCTGGTCCAGTCCTGTCCTGGTCCAGCCCTGTCCAGTCCTGGTCCAGCCCTGTCCAGTCCTGGTCCAGCCCTGTCCTCTCAACTTGGGGCAAGTGCTAGTTACCGTAGCAATGCACTGTTCACTTACAGCAGTTAGCATCTTGTTTTTTGTTATAATTCAGGTAGATTCACCAGTTTTAGCATGTGTTAAAGATACAAAAAATCGTATGTATCACAAAAAATAAGCGAAAAAAAATAAATAAAACACACACTTGTGTAGCCGCATACAGGCTACACACTCGCTCCCGTAGCGTTTTAGACCAGTTCAGGCGTTCGGAGCTATGTTAATAATTTGAATTCTGTTTTCATTCTTGACATTCTTCTCTCCTAAGTCCACCTTCTCTCCTCCGCCGTCTGCTCTCCTGTTACACTGCTTTTCTCCCCGACTGGAGGCCAAGTGTTTCCAGGCCGCGGTGGGTGGAACCGTGTTATTTAATAAGTGGCTAAGCTCCAGCACACGCCGCAGAGACTCCATGACTGACAGCGGCACTATAAAAATGCACTTGTAGTTTTAGCCCCGTTCGCACCGCGCTAAAGCAGTGGCTGGAGGCAGGCTACAGCGGCAGCGGCGTCAAGGCCCGTTTCCACCAGTCCTACCTTACTCTGCAAAACTCTACTCTACAGTCGGCTCTACTCTACTCTATACTCGGCTCTACTCTACTCTATATACTCTACTCTATACTCGGCTCTACTCTACTCTATATACTCTACTCTACTCTACTCTACTCTACTCTACTCTACTCTACTCTATACTCTACTCTACTCTATATACTCTACTCTATACTCGGCTCTACTCTACTCTATATACTCTACTCTATACTCGGCTCTACTCTACTCTACTCTACTCTACTCTATATACTCTACTCTATACTCGGCTCTACTCTATACTCGGCTCTACTCAACTCTACTCTAGACTCTACTCTACTCTACTCTACTCTATACTACTCTACTTTATACTCGGCTCTACTCTACTCTACTCTATACTCTACTCTATATACTCTACTCTATACTCGGCTCTACTCTACTCTATACTCGGCTCTACTCTACTCTACTCTACTCTATACTCTACTCTACTCTATATACTCTACTCTATACTCGGCTCTACTCTACTCTACTCTATACTCGGCTCTACTCAACTCTACTCTAGACTCGACTCTACTCTTCTCTACTCTATACTACTCTACTCTATACTCAGCTCTTCTCTATACTCAGCTCTACTCTACTCTAATCTACTCTATACTTGGCTCTACTCTATACTCAGCTCTACTCTACTCAATCTACTCTATACTTGGCACTACTCTATACTCGGCTCAACTCTACTCTAGACTCGGCTCTTCTCTTCTCTACTCTATACTCGGCTCATCTCTACACTACTCTATACTCGGCTCTACTCTTCTCTACAGTATACTTGGCTCTACTCTTCTCTATTCAATACTCTATTCTACTCTACTCTACTCTACTCTCTCTTCGGCTCTGCTCTACTCTACTCTACGCGACTCTACTTTACTCTACTCTACTCTACTCTACCACAAACCCCCGGATACTGGGTTGTTGTCGTTAGGTTGCTAGGATACGGTACCAGAGACTAAAGCATTATAGAAACGCAAAAAGGTAGAGTACGGCCAAGTAGGGCTTTAACTGGGTAAAATATGTTCAAGTATTAGTTTAGTCCTGGATCTACAGCCTCAGTCCTGGATCTACAGCCTCAGTCCTGGATCTACAGCCCCAGTCCTGGATCTACAGCCTCAGTCCTGGATCTACAGCCTCAGTCCTGGATCTACAGCCTCAGTCCTGGGTCTACAGCCTCAGTCCTGTCATATATTTTACAGTGCACATTGCTGACAGTCTTCCTGGTAATCTCTGTTCAAATCTCCCCTAAAAAAGCCCCTAATAAAAGCGGTAACAGAGATTCGGTGTACCATGTGTCAGCACAGACCTGACGTGTGATCTCTGTTGCCCGCGGTAACAAGGGCCGTCTGTGCCAAGGCTGATCTGTCTCAAAATTATGCCCAGGTGCTGCACTGATAAGGGGAGGGTCTCTGAGCACACTTGTGTATCAGGTTGGCCCTATATCAAGGCTAAAGGCTAATCCCAAACATGCATTAATGTGCCGGTACAGGCCGCAGGCGGCTTTCAGCGCCCTGCTCCGACCTGAGGCTGCGACTAATGGAGTCAGAGGACACTGCAGAGAACAAGGAGCAGACGTCAGGGACATCAACACCAGGGCACAGGTGCTGGTACACACACACAGACACACACACAGGTGTGCTGGCACATACACACGCACAGACAGAGACACACATACATACACACAGACAGAGACACACATACACAAGCAGGTACACACATAAAGAGACAAAGATACACACACACACACACACGGAGACACCCAGGTACAGGTGTGCTGGTACATACACACAGACACACATATTCAGAGACACAAACATACGTGCACATACACAAAGACACAAAGACACACACACATTCAGAGACATCCAGGTACAGGTGTGCTGGCACATACACAAAGACACACACACACACACATACAGAGACACACGCACACAGGCACATACAGAGACACCCAGGTTCAGGTGTGCTGACACACAATCACACACACACACACACACACATATATGCAAATATGCACATAGACACACACATACATTCAGAGACACCCAGGTGCAGGTGTGCTGGCACATGCACACACACAGATGAAGACATACATACGCGCATACACATACACACAGAAACACATTCACACACATCATTCATAGACGCACACACACATACACACGCATACAAATCACAAAGACACACACACACACACACACAACACAGGCACACACAAAGAAATAAGTTGAAATAGTCTTGTCATAATTTTAACTACACAACTAAAAAAGTCAGTTTTCTAAAAAGTATAATAAGTATTGCGTGTAGTGACCTAAATCAACCTAATTTTTCCAGATTCTACGATTACATACTGTAACAACTTGATGAGCTTAAATCAATCCTGGGGTAAATTATACAAATTGCCACGCACAATTTCAAATCAAAACAACCAGAGCATGAATGATGTTACCAGATATTATTAGTTCACAAATGTGTGACTTTCAGACGGAGCCCAGCGCTGGACTCTGACGCCACGTTTCCACTTCCACTGAATGAATTACACCTCAACATGTTGTTTCCGAGGGTCGTGCCAAAGTGAGTGCCCCGGCTGGAGGCCACGGCACCGGCCCTCTGCGGGGCTCTGAGGGGCTCTGAAGGGCTCTGCGGTCCTCTGCGGGGCTCTGAGGTCCTCTGAGGGGCTTTGAGGTCCTCTGAGGTCCTCTGCGGTGCTTTGAGGTCCTCTGAGGTCATCTGCGGGGCTTTGAGGTCCTCTGAGGTCCTCTGCGGGGCTCTGAAGGGCTCTGAGGTCCTCTGAGGTCCTCTGCGGGGCTCTGAAGGGCTCTGAGGTCCTCTGAGGTCCTCTGCGGGGCTCTGAAGGGCTCTGAGGTCCTCTGAGGTCCTCTGCGGGGCTCTGAGGTCCTCTGAGGTCCCCTGTGGGGCTGTGGGACTAATTAACACATCCTGATTGTAACAGAGAGAGAAGACAGAAAGGGAGAGAACAGAGAGAGAGAGCTGAGAAAGACCAGACAGAGAGACCAGCGAGAGACCAAAGCAAAGAGACCAAAGAGAGACCAGAGATGGAGAACGGAGAGAGAGAGCCAGTCTCTCTCTGGAAAGAGAGAGAGAGCAGAGAGCAGCTAGAGAGAGAGAGAACAGAGAGAGACTAGAGAGAGACTAGAGAGAGAGAGCAGAGAGAGACCAGAGAGAGACCAGAGAGAGACTAGAGAGAGAGAGACCAGAGAGAGACAGGAGAGAGAGCAGAGAGAGACTAGAGAAAGAGAGACCAGAGAGAGACAGGAGAGAGAGCAGAGAGAGACTAGAGAAAGAGAGACCAGAGAGAGAGCAGAGAGAGAGAGACTAGAGAGAGAGAGCAGAGAGAGACTAGAGAGAGACTAGAGAGAAAGAGAGCAGTGAGAGACTAGAGGTAGATACCAGAGAGAGTGACCATAAATACAGTAACCAGTGGAGCACGTCTCATTGTTAACGGATTATTTCCTCTTTCAAAACAAAAACCCAATGTTCCCGTTTATTCCCAGTGGAAAAGTTCAAATGTCTGGCTCTAAATTATTAAGTGATTAGAAAGTGTCCGAAAGCACAACGCCCACAACAAAACTCCATAACTATATATTTATAAATCGCTTCCAACTCTGAGTCCATGGAAATGTCTTTGAAGGTCTGGGAGTTCGGTCTTGTCCCTGTGCATAATTGGACCGGGCTCCAGCCAAAACAAAGACTTTCTGAAAACATGTTTTTATTTCCGTGTCCTGGTCTTTCTAGCTTCTCCACGACAGGAAATGAGTCGACTCCCGACATCAAAGTCTGAGAAGGAAGTGAGCGCTTTCCTCTGCTCGGAGACCTCCACACCTGACCGTGGATGTATGATGTGATCTGGACTAGAGGCCACCCGCGGTACTGCAGTCTAAATCCACACGGGCAGGTGATATTAGCATAGACATCAATGTTAACTAAAAAGGCTCGCCCTCAGCTAACACGCTACATGCAGCTAAGCTAAGCTAATATAATAGGAGTGGATTGAGAAAGTGTTGACCTTTTTGAATATTTTGTTTTATTTTTTCAATCTATGCCATACAGAAAGCACTGTACCCACACACACGGGCAACAAAGAATGAAGAAAAAAACAAAAAAGGTAAAAGGACAATCTGTACAACAAAATATATTAGCATTGATTAGCATCACTGCAAAAAGTGATGAAAAATAGCTCAAATTTGGCCAAATTGTATTAATCTGAGCACATTCTGACAGCCTTAAACAAAACAAAAAATTGCCAATGGGACAAGAAAAAATGCATCTTATTTGAAAAAGATACAAGAAATGTCTCCTTTTGAATGAGAAAATAAAGCAACAGATCTTGAAATTGGACTAAATGACTTTGTCTCATGAGTGAATCTGGTTTTAACACAGTCAATCAATCAACTGGTGTTTGTAGAGCGTCTTTCCTTCACAAGGTCAGATTGTACTACGAGTAAGATTTATTAACAAAGATTCAAACCATTATTCCCTCATATTTTTTCATTTTTTCTGTGTTGACTGTAAAAGGGGGATATTTGAGTGTAGGCTAGTTTTGTTAAAAATGTAACAAACATTTGAGGAAAGAAGAGGGAATCCTGAAGTATCCAAAGTTATCCTTGTGTAGTGTGTTTGCATCTGCAGCTGTATTTTCACTTTTGCCAATATTGGCCAAATGTGGAGGATTTTTTTGTTTGACTAATTATGGATTATCTGTTTTATTTGTCTTTAGATAAAAATTCTTGCTAGAATTTAACCAAAACTAAAGAAGGCTTAGTATTGTGGACAGATGAATGTTGTTGATGATTTATAATGAAGTCTAACATGCCAGCGTTGCACTCATGAACCCTTTAATGTTTTCAACCATTTGGTGGATTGCCTTTTGAGTTTCTGTATCTACTTTAAACTTGGAACTGAAAGATACCTCTTTGGGGCATCTCTCTCTCCTGGTTTTAGGCACTTCATCAAACTGCATCTCCACCATTTGGTAAAAAAGCTATCATTTAAGCTAGCGGTTAAAAAACAAAACGTAAAAACTAATTATTTGTGTTATTTGTGCTCCTATCTGCTCCTATCCAAAAAATAAAAATTACGAATGGCTTTCTTCAAGGAGTGAACACCAAATTAATTCGCAAACATTCATATAGGAGAGTCATTTAAACAGGGGGAGACAGTGTGAAGTTTGTGGATAGGAAAAACGTCCGAGGGCCACTTGGAAACGAGAACTGGACCGCATTTGGCCCCCGAGCCGCACTTTGCCCAGGCCTGGTCAACGAGCCTAAACCCCCTCCTCTCTTCCGTACAACAGTAACAGTCAGTCAGAAGAGTAATGGGACATGAGCGGACACACAAAACAACCAGACACACGCACACACACAGACACACACACACACACACACACACACACACACTGCGTTTTGTGACTACCATGTGGCGGAAATGCAAATATTTTGCTTGCTCCTCGTATAAAATGTGAAAATTACACAGTACAAGAGAAAATACCTGTGCAGCTACCCAGGTGACCGCCTGCCTGGCTCCTAAAACCAGGGACATAAATATAGCAATTACCCACAAACCCCTTGGGCACACAAAGGAGCGGAGAACTTGATAGTTTGCGGCTGGACAATGACTCATAACACGGAATGAGGCGGGAGCGAGTGTGGACACAGGGCCATAATGACGGCCATTTTATGTGCGCCGCGAGCGATAAAGTGCTGATCTGTCTCTGTTTAATGATCATTACTCTCCATAAATGTTTAGATTTGATTTGATTATAGAGGCCGATAACAACTGTGCGGTGTTCACCTTTTGCTGCTTCGATGTTTGACCAATTCTTTTGTGTTTTCTCTCCGACCACATCATGTAAGAGCAGGTGAAACATGACAGTCACCTTTAATTAAAAGTCTCTGGCCTTTGTCTGATCTCTCTCTTGTCTCGCTATAGTCTTTCTCTCTGGTCTATGTATCTTGTTTCTCTCTCTCAAGTCTCTCTATCCCCGTTTCTCTCTCGTTTCTCAAAAGTCTCTCTCTCTGGTCTCTTCTCTGGCCTCTGTCTGATCTCTCTCTCTAGTCACACTACAGTTTCTCTTGTTTCTCTATCTCTGGTCTCTTGCTCTCTCTCTAGTTTCGCTCTCTCTGGTCACTCTATAGTCTCTCTCTCTTGTTTTTCTATCTCTGGTTCCTCTATAGTCTCTCTCTCTCTGGTCTCTCTTTCTTTGGCCTCTGTCTGATCTCTCTCTGGTCTCTCTCCCTAGCCACACTATAGTCTCTCTCGCTTGTCTCGCTATCTCTCTCTCTGGTTTTTCTCTCCTCTCTCGCTCTCTCTCTAGTTTCTCTCTCTCTGGTCCCTCTCTGGTCTCTCTTTCTTTGGCCTCTGTCTGATCTCTCTCTGGTCTGTCTCCATAGTCTCACTATAGTCTCTCTCTGGTCTTTCTTTCTTCTCTCGCCCTCTCTCTCTGGTTTCTCTCTGGCCCCTTTATAGTCTCTCTTTCTGGTCTCTCTCTCTGGTCTATCTCTCTATAATCTCACTTTAGTCTCTCTCTCTCGTCCCTCTATAGCCTCTCTGTCTCGATGGACTCTCAGGCCTCTGTCTCTTTCTGGTTTCTCTCTCTCTCTCTGATCTCTCTCTGGTCTTCCCTCAGTCCTGCACCTGCCCCTCAGTCTCCTCTACAGCTGTATTATTACAGCGTACGCACGGCTTTTGACAGCTGCAGTAGCGTCTGACAAGCACTGAACTTATCCAACTTAATCCCATTTGACTTCCCATTTGATTTTGCTTTTGATCCACCACTGTGAACCCATGTCTCTACGTACACAGTATTGTCCATCATGTAAACCTTAAACCATGTGTGTGGTAAGTAGCTGGTCCTGACCCCACACCTCCAGTTGAGAACCCGCCGCTCCGCACTCCACTCCGGGCAGGGCCGATGACATAACGCAGACACAGGCCATGAGAACGCCTCTCGGGTTCAGGACAGACGTAAATATTTGTTTCTTTGTGATAGCGAGCTGAGTGTTTGTGACTGCAGAGACAGAATAGCCTCAAACTGTAAATATGTGACTGTAAACAGCAGCATCCACAAAACACAAACAAACGCTGGAATTATCGAGGTCTGGCACAAAACTAAAACATAGAATCACAGAATATATGACTTTAATGTTGCATAGTTATGTACACTGCTAAAATATGTGGTGATAAAAGCTGGAATATCATGTTTTTGTTTTTTCCCCCCATTTAGTCTTAACTGTTGCTTTATTTTCTCATTCCAAGAGAGACATTTCTTCAGTACAGTCAATACAATCTGTTTATAATTCAGATTAAAGTTAAGATTAAGAGATTGTTTATTTGCCCCACAGTCAAACCCTCGGTACTAAAATAAAACAAAATTTGTAACTTTACCATAATAAAGAAGAAAGTATCAAATCTGTAACTTTCGCAGAAAATTAAAATACTGTATAATCTTGTGCAAGAAATAGATCACTATAGATAAATAAATAAAATCCACTGGTGATATTTCCTTTGCACATTATTTAAATTAATTCCTTTTTTTTTCAAACCTGCACGATACTTATTTTCACTAATAATAATAAAACAGATAAATAACAACTGAAGAGAAAAATAAACTTGTACCGTGACTGTGACGATAGTCTTTGGACCATGTCGCCTGGAGGCCACTTTGTGTTTTGATTTTTGAGCTGCTTTGGTTTGGTCCAGTCTCTGTCTCACTTCCTGTCGATCTGTTGACTAAAGCTCAAACATAAACAACAGAGGAAAGTTGCTATTGCCCCCTCCCCCAATATCCCCCCTCACCCTGACCCCATGGCCCCTGGTGGCAGAGACTTGCACCGGACTAATCATTACCTGTTGTTAGGAGCAGGGTTTAGCGGCCCCGGCCCCGCGCTAACCCCCCGTGGTTTCATCTGATTCTGGTCTCGGGATTTTTTTTTTTCTTCTGGGGGCCTTTTTTGCAAACGTGCAGGAATGGAATCAAAATACTGATGAAGATACAACAGCGGGGAGTTAAAAGGCAGAGAGACAGAGAGAGAGAGAGAGAGAGAGAGAGAGAGAGAGAGAGAGAGAGAGAGAGAGAGGACGCTCAGAGGAGAAGAGGGAGAGCGCCCCCTACAGAGCAGAGAGCACAGCAGAGAGTGATGGTGGAGGGAAGACAGCAGCAAATACTGTGGTTTAAAGGTAACAGCGAACAATCTAAGGCTTTTACTGAACAGATTTTATCCTTCTCTTTATTATCAGGGTTTGGCCGGTCTACCTTAAAACAGAAAACATCTTAGCACTAGATTGTAAAATGGTCTCGTCGCCACCTTTGTCATTGCAAAAAACAGTTCCCATGACACACCACCAGCTGAATTTGATACTAAATTGAATCACAATACATCCTTTAATAACAAAGCAAAGTGAAAGTGTTTGTAAAGAAAATCCAACAAGCACAAAAAGTCTTTCTAATCCTCATCATTTTCTTTTACTTCGTACCTTCTGACCACTTTTACCATCGCTTCACTTCCTTGTCTTTACTTATCTGTTGAGTTTTTATTGTTGTTTGTGTAAATGTAGCCTGGTCGTACCACACCATAGTACTAATGACATTTCATACAAAGGTCTTGATTTGCTCCATTGACTCCGTTTACAGCTGGGAGGGGTTAACTCCTTTTGCAGATTGAAACAATTGGATCAGAGTTTACCTTGACGTATGTAATGCGCCTGAGTAGTTAGCATTTAGCCTAGCTTTAGCCATCTCCTTTCCCGCTAACGGAGCCCGTGAGGAGTAGCGCCACAATCTTTGCCAGCACTGACTTTTGCTAAACATTCCTCTTGCTCCGGCTTCAGTTTCTTGATAGAACCAGACCAGATTACTTTACTATCACATTCTTCGGCATTCCAAAACTACAACCTGCCCGTTCGGCGCAAACTCTTGACGTCACCCACGACTAACTACAACACCCGCCTCCCGCGCTCACTGATTGGTCGAATGGAATTCAACCGATTGCAGTTGCAAACACAGGGACCAGACCCAGACGTTACATGCAGGAAATGATGATTGACAGGTGTGTACGGATGGATAAGGCCAGGCTAGTGTAAATGTAACGTGTTTTATGAATATTTTTGTGTGTGTAGAGGCCAAGTCTCTCTTTCAACTGCAAAAAGAATCTGGTGCAAACAACGTCACCTTGAACCTTGAATCATTCAATATTCGTTGTGTATTTACATTTCTGTCCTTTTTGCCTCATGTTGTATTTAGCTTTTTAGATTTTAGACCTCGGCGACCCAGTCCACACCCAACATCTCTATGTCTCTCAGCTGGCCTGGGAACGTCTTGGGGTCCCCCCGGACGAGCTGGAGGAAGTTCGTGTGGATAGGGAAGTCTGGGCGTCTCTGCTTAGACTGCTGCCCCCACGACCCGGCAACGGATAAAGCGGAAGAAAATGGATGGATGGATTTAATTTAAAACATGTATCTGTGCGCACAAGTCACAAGAGAAGTCAGAAGCTCTAAACAAAAACAAGAGCGGCCATTTTTAGTTTTCAATTATAAAGATTCCCTCCTGTGGACCCACCACCTGCAGAGGGGTCCGTGGTGGCGCGGTGCTGAGAGGACTGGGTGGCAGTCGAAGGCGGAGACCTCGGCGACCCAGTCCACACACACAACGCTGGCAGGGGAAGAAGCCGGTCAGACCTGGCAGACTCAAGTGTATAGTGAGGGTCTGCTGGGAACGTCTCGCTGAGCCCCCTGTCAGACGGACGTTCAACTCACACCTCCGGGAGAGCTTCTCCCAGGTCCCGGCGGAGGAGGGGGACATGGAGTCCGAGTGGACCATGTTCTCTGCCTCAATTGCCGATGCGGCGGCTCGTAGCTGTGGTCGCAAGGTCTCTGGTGCTGGTCCCGGCGGCAACCCCCGAACCCGGTGGTGGACACCGGCAGTAAGGGATGCTGTCAGGCTGAAGAGGGAGTCCTATTGAGCCATGATGGTTTGGGGGACTCCTGAGGCAGCTGTCCAGTACCGGCAGGCCAAGCGTGCCGCGGCCCGGGCTGTTGCAGAGGCAAAAACCCGGGACTGGGAGGAGTTCGGAGAGTCCATGGAGCATGACTATCGGTCGGCCTCGAAGAGATTCTCGCAAACCATCCGGCGCCTCAGGAGGGGGAAGCAGTTCTTTGCCAACACCATGTACCAGGTGGAGAGCTGCTGACCTCGACTGGGGATATTGTCGGGCGGTGGAAGGAATACTTCGAGGTTCTCCTCAATCCCCCCGTCACGTCCTCCATTACAGAGGCAGAGGCTGAGGATGTTGGGGCGGATACATTCATCTCCCTGGCCGAGGTCACCAAGGTGGTTGGCAGCCTCCATGGTGGCAAGGCTCCGGGTGTGGATGAGATCCGCCCTGATTATCTAAAGTCTCTGGATGTTGTAGGACTGTCTTGGCTGACACGTCTCTGCAACATCGCGTGGCGATCGGGGGCGGTGCCAATGGAGTGGCAGACCGGGGTAGTGGTCCCTCGCTACAAGAAGGGGGACCGGAGGGTGTGTTCCAATTATCGTGGGATCACACTCCTCAGCCTCCCCGGTAAGGTCTACTCCAAGGTACTGGAGAGGAGGCTACGGCCGATGGTCGAATCTCGGATCCAGGAGGAGCAGTATGGTTTTCGTCCCGGTCGCGGAACACTGGACCAGCTCTATACTCTCCATCGGATACTCGAGGGTTCATGGGAGTTCGCCCAACCTGTCCACATGTGCTTTGTGGATTTGGAGAAGGCGTTCGACTGTGTTCCCCGGGGTGTCCTTTGGGGTGTTCTCCGGGAGTACGGGGTCGGAGGTCCTCTGCTGAGGGCCATCCGATCCCTGTATGACCGGAGCCAGAGCTGTGTTCGCATTGCCGGCAGTAAGTCAGACCTGTTCCCGGTGAATGTTGGCCTCCGACAGGGCTGCCCTTTGTCACCGGTTCTGTTCACTGTGTTTATGGACAGAATTTCTAGGCGCAGTCAGGGGTCGGAGGGGGTCCGGTTCGGAGACCACAGGATTTCATCTCTGCTGTTTGCAGACAATGTTGTCCTGTTGGCTCCAACGAACCAGGACCTGCAGCATGCACTGGGGCGGTTTGCAGCCGAGTGTGAAGCGGCTGGGATGAGAATCAGCACCTCCAAATCCGAGGCCATGGTGCTCGACCGGAAAAAGGTGCCTTGCCCTCTACAGGTGGGTGGAGAGGTCCTGCCTCAAGTGGAGGAGTTCAAGTATCTCGGGGTCTTGTTCACGAGTGAGGGAAGAATGGAGCGTGAGATTGACAGTTGGATCGGTGCAGCGTGCGCAGTGACGCGGTCTCTGTATCGGACCGTTGTGGTGAAGAGGGAGCTGAGCCGAAGGGCAAAGCTTTCGATTTACCGGTCAATCTTTGTTCCCTCCCTCACCTATGGTCATGAGCTGTGGGTAATGACCGAAAGAACGAGATCGCGGATACAAGTGGTCGAAATGAGCTTCCTCCGCAGAGTGGCTGGGCGCTCCCATAAAGCGCGTTCAGACCAAAAGCTTCAAAAAGCTTTTGACGCGCTTCAACTGACGCCGGGATAGTTTTGTCATTTTGGTGCTTGAAGCTTTTGACGCGCCTGACGCCGGTGGGAGGAGCTTCTCTGTTGTCTGTAGTCAGGACAGCGGTGGATTTTTGCTGCTCGCTGCTCATATTTCAATGAGCAGCGAGCCTTTATTTGTTATATAAAGCAAAATAACGTTGTTGTAGGGCTTCAACAAAACATGTTCTGGGTTCACCACAGACTTGAGAGGCTGCAGTGTTTGCAGAGTTCCGTCATTTACTCCAGGAGCTGCGTACGGAGGAGTCTCGCTTTCAGCGGCACTTCCGCATGTCACTCGCCCGGTTTGAGTTCTCAAACCCCGGAGCTCGCCTCTCCCTGCCTCTCCCCGGCTCTCGCTCGC